TTAGCTGCTGTCAAGGTGGTGACCTTATGTACAAGTGAACAAAAGGTTGCCCAATTCCACGCCATCTTTCACAATCGTGTGTGTGTGCGCACTTGTGTGTATTTACATTTCTTTTCTGGCCATTTTTATTATCTATTTACTTCACAATTGTTTCTGAAAATAATCCACTGCAAAGGATTCATATGTCAAACATGGATGTCAAGTATGCTACATACACCACTGTTCTTCAGTGGTTTTGCCTGAGACCACCCAAAGCATCAATTATCCAAACACAAATTACAACTTTCAAGAGGTACTTGGAAGGCTCTCCTCTTTTCACTGAGCCCTAATATCTTCCCTGCAGATGGCACTGTAGAATAAACACTGGAATGCAAACCATAAAGTCAACAGTTCAAACCCAAGCCACTTCCTGGAAACCCTAAAAAGGGTTTCTATGATGAAACCAATACAACGGCACTTAACACACATGTGAATTAAGTGCCATCAAGTCAGTTCTGACTGATATTCTCATTTCTTCATTGTTAAATATTAAAACAATGAAATGTAATTTGTAAACCATGCAAATATTCAAGAGGACAAGGACAGTCAGTTCCTCAGTATCAGTGGGGGAGACAGATTCCAGGATACTCTCTGGATACCCACAGATGCTCAATTCTTTTTTCCAATTTTTGACTTGTGGTTGGTTGAAATCCTCTGATGCAGAACCTGTGAATGAGGGTCAACTATATAATAACTTAAAATGGTTTGTAAATCTCCTCTAGTTCTCAAAACCAAACAAAAATATGATGGTACAACATTAAAACCCATTGCCATCAAGGTGATTCCAATTCACAGTGACCCTGTATGACTGAGTAGAACTGCCAACGTTTCCAAGCTTGCAATTTTTACAGAAACAAACTGCTACATTTTTCTCCCAGTATAGTTGGTGGGTTTGAATTGGCAACCTTTCAGTTAGCACCCAAATGCTTAACCACGGTGCTACCAAGGCTCCTTGGTGATGGTGTGTTGCTGACCCTGTACTGTGTTCTCTGAGACAGTAAAGCTCTATAGGAGCAGAAAGCCTCAACTTTTTTCTGTGGAATGGCTGGCAGATTCAAACTGCTGACCTTGCAGTTAGAAGTTGAACTTGTAACCCAATACATCACCAGAGTTTTGCTGTTAAGTGCTGTCGAGTCAATTCAGACTCATAGCGAGTCTGAATAGGGTTTCCAAGAAGCTGGTGGGTTTGAACTGCTGACCTTATGGTTCCTGATCCAGTGCTGACCCTACAGTGCCACATAGTACAATGTTAATTACATACAAAAGAGAAATGTGGACATGTCTCTTCTACTTTAAAATAACTTGGGAGCCCTGGTGTGGCACTGTAGGTTACTGCACTGGACTGCGAAGTTGGTTTGAACCAACTGAACCAACCAACCTCAAGCTTGGTGGTTCAAGCTCACCAGCCATTCCTCAGGGACCCTATACAGGGTCACTATGGGTAGGAACTGACTCGATGGGACTTAACAACAAATACCTAATACAAATTTTACTATTACATCTCTTTATGTGCCTGTAGTTTTACAGGAAAATAAACTGTTAATGAGACAACAAAAGAATAATTAGACAACCAATGTTATCAAAATTTCGTTAATAGATAAGATGCTTTTCTCAATATGCCTGATAACAGTGGAGGGTTTTTTTGTTTTGTTTTAAAGCTTGAAGTATTAAAAGCTGTATGCTATTGCTCTGAAGTAGGTTAAAAAAGACTTCCAGTTACCATCTCATTGTATGCTATGTATAATACTGAAGGGTCATCATTTATTTAACAATTTTTTTCCCTACCATGATTTCAAGGTACATTTAAAATGAGATGTGAATGTGTATAGACAGTCACAGAAAAATTTCCTGAAATGCTGAAGAAAATTATATTCTGTGACAGAGAAAAACCTACAATTTTTATCTGGTTTAAAAAAAAAAAAAGGCAACAACCTATCATTCTGTCCCATCAGGTACAATTTTATCCTAAATTCTGTTTTATAAGAGTTGACAAACTTTTTCATTCTTCCAACATTTCTCTGCATCATTTCCTTTATCAGGTATCCATGTAATTTGTCCCCTCTGAACTAGAGAACTAAGCAAAATGATAAGACTGTGGAGAAAGAAAAGTATAACCAACTTTTAATATCCAAAACTCCTGGGATAAGAGTATTACCATGGTTAAATGAGGTAAATTGAAGAATTACTTCAATTCTTGGTTTGGTCTTCTAAATCTCTTCCACACAGAGCTTTGTTTCAACCCTTTGTCCACTTCTTTAGTAGACCTCTTAGAGAAGGGAACAAGCAAATCTAACAGCAAAAAATTAATTATTGCAGGTTAAAAAAATACTTAAAGCATCCTTATTAGATGATCTAGATTCTAAAGACATGGACATGTAGTAATCAGTGAACAAAATATAGAATAGTCATACAGAACAATTTAGTGGAAATGGGAAAGGGCAGCAAGCTCCATCTGAGATGTGGCACTCAATTCTTTAAGACAACTGACAAGACTGATAGTCCAATGTCAATTAAGTATTCATAAAGCTTAATTCTGGTCTAATTTTAAAGATAACAATGATATAAATGTATTAATATTTTCTCTTATACTTCAGAATACCTTCACACACACATACCACTTGATGGCTCCTTTGTTCTAGTGCTGTAGTTCTTAGAAAATAGTCTGAGAATCCCTCAGTTCTTTTTTGGGGAGTCCTGGTATGGCACTGTGGGTTAAGGCGCCAGATTGCAAAGCTGTTTGAACTGTAAGGTTGGTGGTTCAGGCTCACCAGTCACTCCTCGGAAACCCTACACAGGGTCGCTATGGGTTGGAACTGACTCGATGGCACTTAACAACAACAACAAAGTCAAAACTGTTTTCACATTAATACTATTTTTTGTCCTCTGATATCATTTACTCACAGGTGTACAGCAGTGTTTTTCCAGAGTCTACCTGACATATACGGAGTTCTGGGAGCGTAATGGCTACGAATTGGGCTGCTAACCTAAGGGTCAGCAGTTTGAAACTACCAGCTGTTCCGTGGGAGAAAGATGAGGCTTTCTGCTCCCGTAAAGATTTACAGCCTCAGAAACCCTGTACAGGGTTGCTATGAGTCAGAACTGACTCCACGGCACTTAACAACAACATCAAACCTGACATGTGAGATGAGATCCAACTAACTAGGTATGAGGATCCAGCTTTCACAAAATAAAGTTTAAGCGATTTGCAAAAACTGTACAACAATCACTTTTCTGTTTTTCATGAAAAGTTCTGTCCTGAATGTACTGTTTTAAATTAATTCATACACATGTACACAAGGAAACATGCAGTTCACTGCAGTGACAGCAAAACACAAAAAACAACTTCAATGTTCATTAACTGAGGAACCAGATACTCCAGAACAGATAAAAATAATAAAACTAAATCGTAACACACTGTACTAAAAATACTTAAGTGCATACACCACTCATGTATGCATATCAAAATACAGAATATTAGATGTTTTATTTTCTTTGTACTTTTTGTACCTTTAACACATTAAATTTGTAGATGCTGCAAAGAAAAGGGGTATGTAACAGACTAAAGGCTACAATATAGCTAACAGACCTTAAAAAGTCCAATTTACAACCTTTATTAATTTGACACACTTTTACAAAGGTGCTGGATAATGCTCTGGACCACAAGGCCACAGTTCAAAACCACCAACCACTCCTTGGAAACCGTATACAGGGCCATTCTGAGTTGGAACTAACTCGACAGCACTTAACAACAACATACTGTGTACAACCCAGAACACAACTGAGTATGTACCATAAACTGCTCACTGATTCTTTTTCATTCATCTTTTCACCTTTTAATAATGTCTTGGCATAAAAGTTGTCCATATACTGCTGAATGGGTTATCTTTAATAATCTTATCTTCCTGCCCTTCTGTATTTTATTAATTTCTTTTACGTATGCTGCTGATCTGTCCCTTTCCACAATTTTACTCCAAGTTAGCCAAATCCCTAAAGCGTATGACTGTGCTTTTCTTCCTCCTCCTCACTTCTACCATGTCTAAGTGTCTGCCCTCAACTATTAAGAGGCCAGGGTGGTTAGTAATACCACTTACTAACCCTGAGACCTTGCATATACTACCTAGACATGCAAACTACCCAGCACCATGTCTAGTACAATATAAACTTTTCTCCCTTCCCTTCATCCTTGAAGCTACTATTCCCTCAAATTCCACCAACCTCCCCAAAAGCTACTTTTCACTTATCGCTTAATTTCCTTCTTTCTATCACACTAAACTTCAGATTCACTACCCTCAAGAATATCAGTAACCTTTAAAAAGTCTTTAACCTCTGGCTATATACTTGTTAAGTGCCCTTCAGTACAGATAATACCACTCCCCTGGTCTTGTGTATTATCTCTAGGTAGCAATTAAATTGGAGAGCCCCACATTCAAATCCCAACTCTGCCATTAGCTAGCAGTATGCCCCTAAGGTGAATTACTTAGCTTCTTTGAGAATCAATTTCTTCCTCTATAAATGGATGTTTATGCACAATATATTAAATTGGGTAAGTATATATAAAGGACGTGACATACCATAGGTGTTTACTAATTAGTGTCTTTTTCTTCCTCTCAATTTTCTCCAAGGCACATCTGAGAGTGATTCTCTGATGCCTTCCTCTATCTTTTGATTGTTTCGAAGTTTGAGTCCTACGTACTCAACTGCTTGTCAAAAATTTCCACAATTGTTCTACAAAGCTCAAAGTCAACCTGCTCAAAAACCTAACATTTTCCCTTCCACTAGATGTGCTTTGGAAAACTGCTTGACTTGTTTTAGTGGCATTACCACTTTTTAGCTGCTCTTAGAATAGGGGATTAACATATTAAACCTATCAGAGGCCAAGGTACAGAAATTCCCCTAGCCCACATTCTTCCACCTCTAACTGCATTCCTACTATGGACCTGTCAAGTTCAGGTCCTACTTACCTTTTTACCCTTAGTCCCTAACTGGCCCATCTTCCCAAAATGTCTCTCTTCTATAATGCATCCAACATACTACTACATGTTTTGACCATACCACCCCACTATTCTAATTCACTTAAACGAAATTCAGGCAAATTAGGCAAAATAAACTTGTAAATACTAGGCATTTATCATTCTTACTTTCAAATAGCCTTTTCCCTATATTTCCTTATTTTCTAATAGCCCTTTTCCTTTCTAGTTGCTGTTGATTCCAACTCAAGGTGACTCCACGTGTTTCTCAGTACAACTGCCCTCCATTAAGGTTTTCAGGGCAGTGACTTTTTGGTAGCAGATCATTCTGAGGTACTACTGATCTGTCAAGGTTAGTGGTGGTTGTGTGTCACCGAGTAGGTTCCAACTCATAGTGACCCTGTACAGGGTTTCCAAGACTATCAATCTTAATGGGAGCAGAGAGGCTCATCTTTCTACCATGGAGCTACTGGTAGATTTAAACTAATGACTACACAGTCAGCAACCCAACAGTTAACCAACTGTTGCCATCCAGGGACTTAGTGTCAAGCAACTACTTGTTTCTCAGTATTGTTGTCCGTTGATCAGTTTTCTGTACTTTCTGAAATACTAAACTGCTATCTTTGTTTCCCAAATTTTCATAAATTCCTATGGCCATGGCCATCCCATACTGCTTTCTAATGGCATCAAAGGAAACTATCGACCACATATTAATTTTCCTAAATCTAAGTTCCCTACTAAATTAGACTCTTCAGGGACAAAGCCCCGGTGATGCTGTGGGTTAGGCGTTGGGCTCCGCAAGGTCTGCAGTTCAAACTCACCAGTTGCTCCAAGGGAGAAAGCTGTTTGTGTCTGTAAAGAGTTACAGCCTTGAAACCCTGTACATGGTCACTGTGAGTTGGAATTCAGCCAATGGCAGTGGGCTTTTATTGAGAGAACCCCTCAATATTCAGTAGTCACAGTATTCAGGAGCCTTGCAGCTTAGCAGACCCTCAAATGTTTGCTAAATGAAAAGTTAGCTGCAGGGGATTCCAGGTTGGAGTGAACAGAACCAATAAAATTTCTTAAATAAGGAGAAATAGTTCTGAAGTACTACAAATCATGCAAGCAAAAGAAGATGGATTTAAAAGTCAAACTCATTTCTCCAGGAAAAGGTTTTCATTTAGCAGAAGAGAGCCAGAACTGGCCAACATATAACAAACAAAAAGGAATTTGCACTTCATATAAACCTAGGAACAGAAATGAAAATGAGCAGTAAGAAAACTCCCATTTTGCACATTTTGAAAGGTTAACATATTATTCCATTTCCCAAGGTGTCAAAATTACTCCCAATTTTGCTTAAACATCCACTGAACACTCTTTCAGAATTACCATAAGATACTTTGAGTGGACATACTCTGATGTCCACTTTCATAATCCTAATTCAGAATTTTGACTTTAAGAATATAGTAAAAAAAATCCTCCTTGCCATTAAAAATTGCCTCGAGAACTTTTCTACGTTAAGTGCAGCCATCAGGTGGGTTCTAACTCATAGCCACATTGTATAGGGTTTCCCAGGAGCGGATGGCAGATTTCAAGTGTTGACCTAGTGGTTAGCAGTCCAGTGCTTATCCTACAGCACCAAATCAGGACTCTTGGAAGGCAATGCACATGAAATCTCCTAAAAATTAGTCTTATGTGTATACATGCTCAAACAACAAGTGTTTGCTAAACCCTCATGGAGACAATTAACTTTACCTGCAGGAAACAAAGTCAACATCCAACTATAAACTATGGGGAATTATAACAAATTCTCTAGCCATCAAAAATTAGGATATTTGAATTTGCTACTTCGAAAATCATCACTATTGAACTTTTGCAAGACACTGTCCAACACCAGTTCAGATATTTTTATGTACCTATCAACTGAAGACTAGTTACTTCTAGATAAAGCTGCAAGGCAGTTAATGGTCTTAACTGCAGCATAAATGGAGGATCCCATACTATGGCATTGAAAAGCCAAAGGAAAAGTTACTACACCATAATTATTTACTGAAGCTACAAAATTTATGAGATGAAACAAGTTTTTAACACTGCATGAAGGCATCTTGAATATCTGATTTTAAAAAATTTGTTTTTATCTTTAGCATTTGAAAAGGGAAACAACCTCTAACTCAAGCATTTAAATAATGGTCCTTTTCCTCTCTCCCTGGCCAGCCCCCAAAGTCGACTCTGATAAATAGGATGTGTGGGCTCCACACTCCAGGACCAGGAGCACCTGGAATCTGCGATACAACTTGAAAGCTTTAAGGCGACAGGCAGCTTTGTACCCGGTTCGGGAGATTTTCACACGTAAATGTGTCTACAGAAGGGAGCCAAGGATTAACTACCTCGGAAGGGAGAAGCGAGGCTGAGGGTAGTGAGGGGGGCTGAGGCCAACGCCGACTTCCTAGCGGACTAAGGAGTAACACACACTCCTCTCCCATTCAACTTTTTAGGTGTCACGTTGGAGCCCTAGGTGCGTATGAGTTATGTTCCCCACTCGAAATGATTAAGAACCCACCCCCTCTGGGCTGATTAACCCCATTTCCTAGGTGCGGGAGCCCCAGTGGAGGAGGGTGAATACCCTCTCCAACTCCTCGTCGACCCGGGATCAGAGTCCAGGGCGGCGCGCGGCGGCCTGAGCAACAGGAGAACTGAGGCCGCCGCTCCCCTAGCCCCGCCACCGGCAGATGCGCCCGCTCCCCCGCCCCCAACCCCACTCGCCCGCCCGCGCTTCTTTCTTAGCCCCTTGCAAGCTTCCGGCACTGCGAAGCCAGTAACGGAGCTGGAAGCAGGGAGCGAGCGCGCCTGGAATTGCAAAGGGGCGAAGTTAAGAGAAACTGGAGCCGACCGGGGCGTGGGGAGGCCGGCAGGGGGCGAGGGGGCAGTCCGAGGTCGCCGCCCCGGGGTGGGCTGTGGGGGAGGGGTTGGGGTCAGTTCCCGTGGCCGCCGCGACCTCTGCCAGGCCCCAAGCCGCTCCGCGCAGGCCCAGCCGCCCCGGAATCGGGGCAGGAAGCGTCCCCACCCCGACCAATGCTTTAAACCTCCGACGGCAGCAGAAACAGCACTCCGGCTCCTGCGGCAGGCCCGGCAACCCCTTGCCCGGAGCACCCCTCACCTCCTGGTTGAAGGCGTTGACGGCGTCCATGTTCGCGCTGCGGCGGCGGCTGCTCCGGGCCCGCCGGTCACATAGACCTCACGCCGCGGCGGAGCGGGGCCGGGGAACCGGCCGGGCCTGGAGGACCGGGGGAAGCGGCAAGCGGCGAAGCCTGAGGCCGGGGCAGGAAGATCCTGAGGTCGAGGTGGCGGGGCGGACGGCCCAGGCAGAGACGGAGGGGCGGCGGGCCCCCTCTCAGTGCCGTTCAGAGGATGAAGAAACAGAAGCGACGGCGACGGCGCTGGGCTCCAACATGTCCGTTTGGTGGTGGCGGCTGCGCTCTACGTCTCGTTGACACGGCCCCCGCGCCCTCACGCACTGGCTCACACTGGCCCGGCCGGCGAGCGGGCGGGCCTCTCTCTCCCTTTCGCCAGCGGGATGGCGGCAGCGGCCCGAGTCCACGCCGCGCGGAGCACCCTGGGACAGCTCGGGCCTCCCAGCGCTTCCTGTGCCCGGCGCCCGCCCCGCCTGCGCTGACTCCGCCTCCGGCCCGCCCCGCCGCGCGGCTTGCCAGTTCGCTGGCACGTGACAGCTGGATGCCAGGCGCTTTCCCGCCGGAGATGGCTGCGGGCTCATCGGCAGTCAGGCTGTCATCTAATCCTGGTCCCGGCGAGGAGCGCGGAAACCCGGGGCAGGGAACCTGGTTCGGAGCGGATCCTCGCACATTCGAGCGCCTGCCTGACGCAGTGCTGCCGGGATGCGTTTTTGTGTGCCATTTTACCCAAGCAAGTTCTGCACTTGGGCGGGCCCCTCGAGCTGGCACGGAGGAGTTCGCCGTGGCGTGGAAGACAGGCGCAGGCTTTCACCTTATCCCACTGGACGTGTATTTGCAGGCTCCCGAATGCTCTGCTGAAAAAAGCCTCTTGTCTGCTTTGTGTGGCTTTGTGTATGCTCTATTTAAACGGTATTTAATTCTTTGGGAACTGAAGCTCAGAGAAGGACGTGCAGGCACTGGATATCCGTGCGGTCCTGAAGGAATCTTTATAAACAAAATGAATCAACTTGTACCTTGGAAGGAGTGGCTTCGCTAAACCTTGACATTGATTCCCCAAACCATGTGTTTCCTTTTTAACGAAAACACTTTGCCCTGCTTTTACTTTCCTTGAACACCTAATACCTGTCAGGTATTGTGCTAGGTGCTGAGCTATAGAAGTAAAAAATAATAACTTTTCCATCTGCAAACTACTCACTTTAGCGGGGTGAGAGTGGAGGGAGAGGACTGGCAAATGAACAGATGAGCAAACAGCTGAGAAAGTATGATCAATGTTCGGGCAAAGAGTATGGAAAACAAAGAAGAAAGATAATCATCGGATTAGAAGTCCTGGAAGGCTTTCCAGAGGAAGTTGCCATAGAGTTCCATCTGCAGGGAAGAGAAATAGCAGGATGAGTCACCTTCTGCTGAGAGAGGACCAACTAGGGAGTGGTCTAGATCTGTGACCTATGCCAAGTCCTTATGTGCCTTTCCAAGGAGCTTGGATATCACTCCCAAGGCATTTGAGAGCCCCTGAAAGATTGTAAAAGGAGCATGATTTCTGTAATGTGCCTTTTTAGAATAACATTGTGAGCTATGTAGCGACTAGACTGGAGGAGGAGCAAGCGTGGGGTCGGAATGGCTCTAGTCTCATGGGATCATGAGGGCTTGAAGTGGAGGCAATGGAGGAGAGGCAGGGTCAGACTTTTAGGAAGTGGAATGAATTTGGCTGGGCTTTTGACTGTACTCAAAGGTAAAGGATGAGGGAGGGGTCAAGGCCCCTGACTTGACGGAAGGCAAAGGCATGAATATTGAGTGTATTAGCCGATTTAGAGGACATACAGGGAGGAAGTAGTGGATTTGAGTGGAAATGTA